GTGCCATATCTGTGGTGTTCTTTACCAGCATGGATAGAGATGAGACTAAGAGTCAACATGAAAAGCATGCCCAGAGTCAACTTTAAGTTTTGATGAGATCATAATTAGTATCAAATGAGTGACACTCTCCAAAATCAAAAAGAGTTAGACAGCAGTTACTGGAGCCCTTTCTGTCAACCGGGGTTATGCATTGATCCTTTGAACCATTTCAAACCTCAGGGAGCTGGACAAGCCAAACCAGGATGTCTTTACTGATTTACTATTTTCACTGTAGGCTGGGACGAGAAGAAGATAAATCAGGAGTGGTCACTTTTTATGAAATCAGAAGAACAAAGTAGGTCAGCTGGAATCATTTGGAACCACACTAAGCTAACCAAAGACTACATGCCTCATCACCATAAAAAGACCTCCATCAAAAATATTAATAAAAAACAGTCTTACCATGACTGTTGGATCTTCTACAATAAATATAGATTGAGAAGTTGTAACCATTTGGTGCCACACAAATGAACAAACTCAGGCCATTTAAGGTCTGAGACACGTCATGATATACCTTGAAGAATCTGGACCCTGCAATAGCTCAATCAGCTCATCTGACAACAGGAACTAAACTAGACATTTCAAGAACAGCCAATAAATCTTGGGTAGCACCATTTTAGGGTTTATAACAGTTTGAGTACTAAAACAGCCTGCCAGGCTACCTTCGGCAATCAAGTTAAAGGAAAGTTAAGACTACATTGATTCATTTAGGATATAATGGGCCATCTAAGACGTAAGTTATTAGGAACAATCTGGGGAAAAGTTGGAACAAATGAAGAGGAGAAAATGGAGCCTTTAGGGCTGTTCTAAAATAACTTTTTACCAGCAGTACAATGAGAGAAAAGGTTAAATACCAAGCTCAAATTTATCAACAGTGTACCTTTCTGCAAAAGGGGTGTAGTCATAAGAGCTTCGCGTGTAGAACTTTTTTCTTTGTAGCATCTGAAGGAAAAGAATCTGTGCCTCTTGGTGGGCTGGTAGCAGTACTGGGGTGACACCTCTGGTCCCTTGGAGGGGTTTGTGATGCTCAAATAGGAAGCAGCAGGTAATCCATAGCCAGGGCGAGGTTCTGGTGATGGGGGACAGGAACTAGTTCGGCGTCGATGAGTGAGGACAGAGCAGGAAGGGCGCTGCACCTGAAGGGATGGGAACTGCTTTTGGGGTTTCCCATGAACTTCTGGAATTAGAAGGAATTTCCCATGAGCTTCAGGGGCAAGAGAAGGGTGAACATTGGGGTGTGGTGGGAGTTGCCAGGGAACGTTGCCAGGACACTGAACGTGAGGTTTCCTGTCACCCGAGGGTGATCCCGGCCTGTTTGTTCCACTGGTATTCAAACCCAACATGGCATTTTGCTGCTGATGGATTTTGGCGCTGAGCAAACGCCGCCTCAAGCTGCCCTCCATTTTTGGTTGGAGGATGGCCATCTTGCCTGGAAGCAGCTCATCTAGTTCTTCATCAGGTCTCCTATTCCAACAGTGTGATGTCACGCCAGCCCCCACCCCCTCACCACTCAGACATTCCACATAAGAAATCATCTTGTTGTGAGCAGTGATTGGTTAAATTATAGTGTTTAACTCCTCTTCATAATGATTCCAGGCCAACAGTTGAATGTTTTCACATTAAAAGTCCAACAAGAATTCCAACACTTCATCATAAAAGCTCATGAAAAAGTTTGTATTTTACAAACCATTCACAGTAAAAGGTGCCAGACAGGTGAAATGTTTTCCAAATTCTTCACAATGAACATTTCAGGGGGAAAAGTTTTCTTTCAAATCCTTTAAAATAAATGTCCCTAATACATTTGGAGATTTTCTTCTTAGGTGATTCAGTAAAAAAATGTGTAAATATTTTACAATGTGGAAAAAGAGAATTGGTTCTGCAAAGTAAAAACTGAATAAAATATTTTTTCTTAGCATGCTAAAGTAACTGTTTAAAAATACTTCTTTTTTTAGTTATTTATATTGAGGTTGGAAAGTTTTTGCAATTTCTGGAGTGAAAAAAATGTCTCTTCAGATCATTTTTCAATTGTAGTCCTTAAGAAAAAGAAGAAAGAATAAAAATATTTCTTCAGAATAAAAGTAGCAACTAGAGAAAAACATGAAATAATTTCTGGTAAAAACGCAGCGCAAAAAATAAAAAAGTTTTTCTGTCTGATGTAATAAAATATAACAGCCACAGCAAAGAATCAGATCCAGGTTTGGAAATTATCTGTGCAACTCAGTTCAGCTTCTTTATATTCCTTTAGTCCTCCAAAAATCCAGTGTCTTCTCTTTCTTCATGGGTCCAAATATCCAACAAGTGTGCTTTTCTGCCAACATGTTAATAGAGTTCTGCTCTGCTTCCTCTCCTCTCTGAGTTTAATCTGCTAAAAGGGATTATCCAGGTCTACAGATGGTTGGTGACAAACAGGTTTTTACCTGGACGCTCATGCCACATGTTGCCGTTTTACTGTGTCATTCCTAAACCTCGGAAAAAGCAGAAGGTCAGTGTCCATCACAGCTTAATTAAACCTCAGCTGCGCACATAAATCTGCTGATCCTCCACAGTTTTCTGATGGAAACCCAGCAGCAAGCCATACAACAGGCTGACAAGTTTCAACATGGATTAATCCTCTGCTGAAAATAGTCCCAACAAACACACAGAGAACTGAAGTTAGTCAGTGTTTAAGGATTACCTGAATTAATGGACACATATTAAGAAAAATTTTTAACAGTATTAATTTAACATTATCGCAACTATTTTATTGTTCATTTTATTTCCAGTCACATTTTTTACTAATTATTTCATTTTTGTATTTCATTATTTATTTTTGCTGTTTTTCCAAATACTTTATTTATTTATTCCAACTTTTGTTCTTGACACATTAAATTTTAATATATATATATTTTTGCATTCTGTATTCATTTAATATTTTTTATTTATTGTCACCTGTTTTATGAGACATTTTATTTATTTCCACCTCTAATATTTCCTCTTTGCATTTTCTCGCCTCCGTTTTGCTCCTTCGTCTTTTTATGAACGCGTCTTTTTTTTTTCACTTTGACTTTGACTTTTCCTTCTCACTCTGT